AATATGTTTTCTATGGCTTTAGCATTCATGTTCTTCTTCTATGCCCAAGATTTGTAGGTTTGGTCTTTTAATGGTGTCCCAGCAGTTTGCATATTCTATTCATACTTTTTTAGTTTTTTCCCCTCTATCTTCATTGACATATTCTAATAAGTCTACTTTGTCTTTCAGTCCTGGTATTCTGTCTTCAATTTGATCCAGTCTACTGGAGAGACTTTCAACTGAGTTTTTTATTTGTCTTACTGAGATTTTCCTTTCCACAATTTCAATTTGACTTCTCAAGAATTTCTATGTCTTTATTGAATTCCTCTTTCATGTCTTACATTGTCTTTTTTTCATTCAGGTCTTTCAGTTTCCTTGGAATTCATTCAAGTGTTTGTTTATGTCTTTTTAAATTTCATTCATCCACATTAAATCTTTTTTTTAATTCTTTGTCTGAGCTTTCATTCAATTCACTGTCGTTAAATGTTTGTTGCTGTAGAAATTAGGTTTGTCATATATAGCCTTTATTATGTTGAGTAATGTTCCTTCTATTCCTAGTTTCTTCTGAGCTTTTATCATGAAAGGGTGTTGGATTTTGTCAAAGGCTTTTTCTGCGTCTATTGAGAGGATCATATGGTTTTTGTCCTTGCTCCTGTTTATATGCTGTATTATGTTTATGAATGTATGTATGTTGAACCATCTTTTTATCCCTGGAAAGAAACGGGCTTGCTCAGGGTGTATGATCTTTTTGATGTGTTGCTGAATTCTGTTTGACAGTATTTTGTTGAGACTCTTTGCATCTATATTCATTAAAGATATTGGTCTATAAATCTTTTTTCTGGTTACATCTTTATTGGGTTTTGGAATGAGTGTAATGCTGTCTTCATAGAATGATTTTGGTAGCATTCCTTCCCTTTCAGTTTCCTGGAAAAGTTTGAGGAGTATTGGTATTAGTTCTTCTTTAAAGGTTTGGTAAAATTTGGCCATGAATCTATCAGGTCCTGGGCTCTTCTTTGTAAGGAGATTCTTTATGACTGTTTCAATTTCATTGCATGTAAGAGGACTATTTAGGTGGCTAACATCATCTTGGTTAATTTTGGTTGGTTATATGCATCTAAGAATTTATCCATTTTGTCTAGATTTTTCAGTTTACTTGAATGTAAGTTTTCAAAGTACTCTGTAATGATTTTCTGGATTTTGTTGGCATGTGGTTATGTCCCTATTTTCATCTCTTATTTTATTAATTTGGGTCTTCTCCCTCCTCTGTTTTGTCATGTTGGCTAAGGGTTTGTTGATCTTACTAATCTTTTCAAAGAACCAACTTTTTGTTTCATTGATTCTTTGTATAGTTTGTTTGGTTTTGATTTCATTAATCTTGGCCTGATCTTTGTTATTTCTCTCCGTCTACTGGTTTTGAGTTTGGTTTGTTCTTGTTTTTCTAGGAGCTTAAGATATATCATTCGATTGTTTATTTGAGAGGTCTGTTTTTTTAATGTACGCATTTATAGCTGTGAACTTTCCCCTTAGCATGACCTTTGCTGTGTCCCACGGATACTGATATGTTGTATTTTAATTTGCATTGGATTCTAGGAATTTTTCTAATTCTTCCCTGTGACTTCAGTCATCCATCGTTTTTTTAGCGGTGTGTTGTTCAGTTTCCATGAGTTTATTTTCTGGAGTTTCTTTTGTTGTTGAGGTTTAGTTTTATTTTGTTGTGACCTGATATGATGCAGGGGGTTATTTCAATTTTCTTGAATTTGTTGAGACTCTCTTTGCATCCTAAAATATTTGGATAAAGTTCCATGAGCTGCAGAAAAGAATGTGTATTGCCTAGTTGTTGGATGAAATGCACTGTAGATATCAACCATTTCTATTTGGTCTAATGTGTGGAGTAGTTCTGAAGTTTCTTTGTTCATCTTTTGTCTGGATGACCTATCTGTTTGCGACAGTTGTGAATTCAGGTCTCCCACTATCATTGTGTTAGGGTCTATCTGTGCTCTTAGGGCCATTAGAGGTTTTGTAATGTAGATGGGTGCCCCTGTGTTTGGTGCATATATGTTAAGGATTGATATTTCCTTTTGATGAATTTTTCCTTTCATTAATATGAAGTGACCTTCATTGTCTCTTCTGATTGACTTTAGTCTGAAGTCTACTTTGTCAGATATGAGCATAGCTACTCCTGCTTGTTTATGGGATCCATTTGTGTGGAAAACTTTTTTCCCCCCTTTAACTCTTATCCAGTGTTTATTTTTTTCAGTTAGATGAGTGTATTGTAAGCAATATATGGTTAGATCTTATTTTTTAATCCAACTTGCTATTCTATGTCTCTTGATTGGGGCATTGAGGCCACTTACATTCAGTGTTAGTATTGAGAGGTGCTTGTTGTTTCCAGTCATTTTTATTTACCTGTTGTTTAGTTTTACCTATTCCTTGTTTACTGGTATGCTTGCTCAAAACTGTTTATTCTTTCTTGAGTCTATCTGTCTCACTCTAGTTTCTTCTTCTATACATACTTAAAGTCCTTTAAGTATCTTCTGTAGTTCTGGCTTGGTGGTTGCAATTTCTTGTAGTTTTTCTTTGTTGTAGAAAGTTTTAGTTTCTCCTTCAATTAGAAGGTCTTTCCAAGACCTTCTTGTGTTTGGAGTTTGAGATGAGAAATCTGTTGTTATTCTAATCAGTTTGCCTTTATCTGTGACTCGTCTTTTCTCTTTTGCAGCTTTCAGAATTCTTTCTTTGTTCTGTGTTCTGAGTGTTTTGATTTTGATGTGTCTGGGGGTGTTTCTCTTTTGGTCCTGAAGGTTTGGTGTTCTGTAAGCTTCTTGCACCTGAGTGACTCTCTTTTTCTTGAGGTTAGGGAATTTTTCTGCTATTATTCTATTGAATAGGTTATCAATGCCTTTAGTTTGTATCTCCTCTCCCTCCTCCACATCCATGATTCGTAGGTGTGGTCTTTTCATGGTGTCTGATATATCTTACATGTTCCATTCATATTTTCTTAGCATTGTTTCGTGATGTTTTACTATTTGGTCTAATTCTACTTTGTCTTCCTTTCCTGATACTCTATTTTCAGCTTGCTTCACTCTATTTGCCGAGCTTTCAATTGTGATATTTATTTGGGATATTGAGTTGTTTATTTTGGATTGATTATTTTTCAGGATTTCCATATCTTTATTGATTTCCTCTTTCACATCCTGGATAGTCTTACTAATTTCACTCATCTGTTTGAATTTTCTTTGAGCTCATTTGTTTATTCACATTCTCAAATACTAACTTTTGTGTTTCTTCTTTGAGGTCATTAATCATTTTTAAAATTGTTTTTTGGAATTCATTATTTGATAGCTCTTCCTCTACATCGGTGTTTGGATCCTCAGTGGTGGAATTGGCTTTTGAGGGAGCGTGGTTGTCTTGCTGTTTCATTCTGCATTGAGATTTATGCATCTGGAGTTGTTTTTGGTTAGGGTTTTAATTTCTTGTGGCCCTGTAGTTCAGGTTTTGAGTTTTTGTATTCTTTTCCTTCTGGAGCTCCAGCAGTGTTCCTCAGAGAGGGGTATGCTGGAAATGTTACCCCTTGCAGGGTTCTTGCTGTGGTGCCAATTGATTGCCTCTTTTCTCTCCTCATTGCGGGGGGCTGGAGTTCCTACTCTTTGATGGGAGTGCAGGGGCTCTCTTACAGTAGCAGTGGGGAGTGCTGGGCCTCTGTGCTCTATGGGGAGGGAAGCCTCCTGGCACCAGCAGAATAGCAAGGCCCAGAGCCTGAGATTCCCTTGGGTGTGTGGTGGCAGGCCCCTGGCACTGTGTAGTAAGTTGAGGGTACCTATAGGGCAGCAAATCTGGAGAGCTTAAATCATCTGGTGCCCAGGAGGCAGTGGAGGCCCTGGGGTGTGGGCTTCCAGAAGCCACGGCAGCTGCTGCTGGCTGAGAACAAAGTCTGCAGGCAGCTGTCATTCCAGGCCCTGATTTCCTGCACAGGCTTCAGGGAGCACAGTTCTGTGGGACTGCTGCCCACTTGGGAGAACTAAGCCAGCAGGTGGTGGGAGCTTTGGGGCCCATTTCCTGCCTTGGCTTCAGGAAGTGCAGTCCTGGGGCACTGCTGCTAGCTTAGGAGAATAGAGCTTGCAGGCAGTGGGCATTCCAGGGCCTGATTTCCCACACCGGCCTCAGGGAGCACAGTTCTGTGGGACTGCAGCCTACTCAGGAGAAATGAGCCAGGAAGCTGCAGGGGTTTGGGGGCCCAATTTTCCACAGAGGCTTCTGGAAGTGCAGTCCCATGGTGCTGCTGTCGGCTTAGAAGAACAAAGCCTGAAGGCAGCTAGATTCTGGGGCCGAATCTCCCACACAGGGTTCAGGGAACTCTTTCCTGTTGCACCATTGCTGGAGAAATAGAGTGTGCTGTGCCTTCTGTTACATGTGGAGTAATGGGAGCCATGGGACCTGCTTACACAGGGGCATTGGTTTCCCTGGCATTTCATGGTGAAGGTAGAAGGTCGTGTATTAGGGGGAGTGTGGAGCTCCAAGTTCCTGTGTGTGCTGGGCAGTGGGACTAACTGCTGAGCAATGGAGCCTGGGGCTGCACAGTGACTTCATGGCTAGGGGGTTGGGAGTGTGGAGCTGCAGGTCATTCTTCCCGTGGTTAGTTGTTTTTCTATTTGTGTATTTGGAGAGGCTTTTACTTCTCGCTGGTTATGGGATCCTTTGGGTGCCTTTGGGGTCCTCCGATCTTCCTTTTTTGGGGTAGTTGGTTGCTGCTAGCCTATAGAAGTGTCAACAATCTGCCACCTTGCCCCCTCCTCCCACATTCACTATTTTTGTAAAGTATAATGCATCTTAATCAATTGTTTGAGAAACTGTGTTGTGGTTGATGTAAAGTCATGTAGGATATTGACTCCTTTCCAGAAATCCCCAACTACCAACACAATCATACCAAGCAGACATCTAACACTCTCAAGTTCTAAGACATGGCAAGCAGCACTTCAGAAATGCAGTCTTCAGGATCAATAGCATTATTGCATTCTGTGACTTACAAGTCCCCTGACCTTCCTGGATGCAAAGATTAACACTCTGCTGATGATCACCATTACTCCCTCTTGCAGGTACAAATTATCTTCATTCATCCACTTGGTCATTTCCTGTTTGGAACATAAGCATCATCTTAGCACCACGGTATTTCCATGTCCTGAGGTTCTTTTCTTCTAGCCTCCACCTTCACCAATTCAGGGGTCCCTGAGTTCTCCTGATAAATCTGCAGTTAATTTTAATCTCAAAAATACAGATAACAAACAACCAGTATACTACTTCAACTACTATAGTAACTCCATTTAGGTTTCATATTATTTAATTCTAGTCAATAAGTTACTAATAGTCATTATAATAATCATTTGTCAGGCATCATGAAAAGTTTATTATGAGGCTATGATGTGATAACCAGCTGCTTCATTGCTTCTTTTTTTAAGTACATAATTGATATTTTAAAAAATACATACTATATTTTTCAGCTTTAAGAGAACTAACATTTTAACTTATCCTGAAATGTCATCTTATCCCAGAATTCCTCTGCAAATTCACCATCCAGAAATACTCAGACTTTGAGTACATTACTAGAGGCAGCTTGGTTAAAAAGTTCTTGCTAATTTTGATTCAAATCTGTCTTGCTGTATCTTTATTTGTTCTAAATTCTAAGAGCAGAAACATTTGCCACCTTGGAAGGGAGTAAGACTGCATATTCCTCATATGCCAATCACAGCTAACAGACTTCTTCAAGCAGTCTATTGGAGTCCACTGTATAAATACCAATGGCTGTCCAAGTCTTGCCCCATTTACCTGACATCAGTTTCCAAGATGTAAGAGTTTCTAAACCTTAGGGAATTATCCTTTTCCTTTTCTGGGAGTGAGATTTCAGCTCTTTTCCCCCAAAATAGAGTCAGGAGAGTCTTAGGCATGGCAGGTAGAAGAACAAAGTGGTTAAGTAATGGGCTCCCAAGTTCCTCTATACATCAGGACTGCACATATTATTGTTTCTCACTGTTTCTATTTTCTCATCTCCAAAATGGGAGCAATAATAGTAACTTTTTTGTACTGTCATTTTAGACATTAAATTAAATAACCCATATATTCAGCTTAGTGCCAAAGGTAAAATGATCAATAAATGGAAGCTATTGATAGTGACATAGGGTGGTCAACAGAACATCCATGGTCAGGGGGAAAGGGGAATAATAATCACTTTGAAGGATTGTGAAGAAACATTTTTATTTTTAGTGACACTGGGGTTTGACCTCAGGGTTTTGTGTTTGTTAGGCAAGTGCTCTAACACTTCAGTCACAACCCCAGCCATTTTTTTTTTTTTGCTCTAGTTACTTTTTAGATAAGTCTCTTGCATTTTTCCCAGGCCATCTCAGACTGCAGTCCTCTTATTTATGCCTCTGAAGTAGCTGGGATTACAGGTGTGTACTATTATGGCCAGTAAAGGTAACATTTTTTACATGTACAAAAAATTTGGCTCAAATTAGGGACAAATTAGCTCAATTCATATTTATTTTCCTTCACATTTCCACTTGTCTTTAAGGATACCATTATGTCCTCTTTACTTGCATGTATTTATGATTTTCACAGCTCATGGATGCTTCTGAGAAGGTAAGTCAAACTGTTTTTCAGCTTTTCCAAGCAGCTGGACCTCAGTGCTATCATGATAGGAACACAAATTTTAAGAAATGAGATGCCCAGTGCAGTACTCCATCTCTGACTGGGGACATTAAAAGTACAGAGAGTTCTTGGTTGTGAAAAATAGGATTTTAGACCTTCCTCCGATATAGCAATGTATTGGTCCATTTTCTGCTGCTATAGCTGTAACAGAATACTTGGAGCTGGGTGATTCATAAATAGCAGAAAATTATTTCTTAGAGTTCTGGAGGTTGGGAATCCAAGGTTGAGGGGCCTATATTTGGCAAGGGCTTTATTTCTGTGCCATCCCATGGCAGGAAGGTGAGAAACACACACGCGCACACACACACACACACACACAGCGGGGGGGGGGGCAGGAACCCATCTAAATCCATTCTTTTATCAGGAATTATCAGGAACACATTCCCATTAATCCATCTAAGCACTTCCCCAAAGGCCCTACCTGTCAATACCATTGCACTGAAGATTAAGTTTCCAATATGTGGACTTTGGAAAACACATTCAAACCATAGCATTCTACCTATGGCCCCCCAAATTCATGTCTTCCTCACATACAGAATATCCTTACTCCATCCCAATGACACCAAAGCCTTAACTCATTCTAGTATTAACTCAAAGGAGCAAAGTCTTAAGTGTCATCTGAATCAGAAGTGTGAGACTCAAGGCATAATTCATTTTGAGGAAAATTTCTCTCTCTCTGCAAGCCTGTGAAATTAATAAGTTACATGTTTCCCAAATACAATGGTGGAACAGGACAGGGTAGGCATTCCATTCCAGAAAGGAAAAAGAGACAGAAGAAAGGAGTTATTGGCTCCAAGTAAGTCCAAAACCCAACAGGGAAAGCAACACTAACACTTAAGGCTGAAGAATAATCTTTGACTTCAAGTCCCACATCTTTGGTATGCTGGAGTGCTGACAGGGCCTGCAAGGCCTCAGACAGCCCCGCATCCATGGCTTTGCTGTGCTCAGTCCACCTAGCAGCTCTCACATGTTGGAGTCTTATGCCTGCAGCTTTCCCAGGCTATTGTTAAATGCTGATGGCCCTATTTGGTCTTGGGGGCTGCCTTACTTTGATGGCTATAGCAACAATGCCCCTACAAGAGCTGTCTGTAGTGGATCTGCCCCTGTAACAAGTCTCTTCTTGGGCCTTTAACCTATCCATGATACATTTGAAATCTAGGTAGAGGCCACCAAGGTTTCATAGCTCTTTTTGTTTCTTATATTATTGTCATACTGCAGATGCATTGTGACATTTACAAAAGTTCTTACAATATATCATAGCTAAATTCATCCCTTCTATCATTGTCCTTTATATCCTCTCCACCCATTCCTGGAATAGTTTCAACGTCTCATTTTTCAATTTTCATATACAAGTACATGATATTTTCTTGTATTCATGCTCCTATACTCTTTCCTTATATCCTTCCCCCTCCCACTGGCACCAGCCCCCAAACAGGACCCGTTTTCCACAGCTCTTGTATCCTGTGTGTCTGCAGAATTAACTGCTAAGGTTATGTCTTGTATCTTCCATGGTGGTGTGTTGAACCTGCTAGAGTCATGGCCAAGACAGCCAAAGGTGCTGTGCTGGAATTCAGGGAGCAGAGTCCCATCTGGTGCAGGGTAGTTAATGGTGAGGCCCTGTGGGCACCTGGTTGGAAACTTTGCTTATAAGGTCCTAGCTCGCTTCAAAGATCTCTGAAATATCTTCGAGATCATTCTCCAATTGTCTTGATGAACAGAACCTAGCTATCTTCTATCCATATTAATGTCTTCAGCAAATGGTCACTTGGTTACTCCCTCTAAAAAATGATTTTTAAGGGTGAATTCAACTATGATATATTGTAAGCACTTTTGTAAATGTCACAATGCACCCCCAACTACAGCAATAATATGATAGTAAAAATTTTTTTACATTTAACATGGACAGAGAGTTCTCTAAATCTTTCCATTTTGCTTCCTTATTAATTATAAATTTCATCTTTAAATCATTTTTGTCTCTAATTTTACTATAAGTGACCCAAAGAAGCCATGTGGCACCTTGAACACTGATACTTAGAAATTTCATCTGCCCAATAGACCAGAAAAAATGAGTTTCTTTCCCTTTACATTCTCCTTCCAAAAGATAGAGTCTCACTTTTAAGTTCTGTCTTCTCCAAAAGTCCTAGAACACAGCCACAATCCCTCCAAGTTCTTTGCAACTGTATGACAACAATGGACTTTATTTCATTTTCCAATATCTTGTTCCTTATTTCCTTTTGAGGCCTCATTACAATGGTCTTTATTGTTCATTTTCTATCAAAATTCTCACCATGCCCACTAAGTAATCCATAAAAAAACTTTAAGCTCCCCTATAGCTCATGTCTTCTTCTAATTCCTCACCAGAACAGGCTTTATTGTTCCATTCATAGAAAATCTAGGCTTTCCCTAGCCTGTGCTTTCCAATTCTTCCAGCCTCATTGCCCAGTTCCAAAAACTGCTTTCACATTTTCAGGTATTTGTTTTAGGAACAGTCTTATTTCTTGGTACCAAATCTCTATCTAAGTCCATTTTATGTTGTTATTTCTGAATATCTGAGACTAGGCAATGTGAAAAGAAGCAGAGACTTATTTCTTACAGTTTTGTAGGCTGTGAAGTCCAAGGTCAAAGAGCTCTCATCTATAAGGGCCTTCTTGCAGCATCATCCCATTGCAGAAGGCAGAAGGGGAAGAGGGCTCACAGGAGAGGGAGCAAAAGGAAGGGGGCAAATCCATCTTTGTATCAAGTGTCTACCTCCATGATAACATCACCAATGTAATCATGAGGAAATTCTTCATGATCTTATCAATTCTTGAAGAGTTCACCTTTTAACTGCTGCACTGGGGATCAATATTCCAATATATAAGCTTTGGGGGATATATTCAAACCACAGTGAATGGTACTCACGAGGATAGAATGCCTACAGAATTCCTCAGCCCCAGTAGTGATGGGGAAGAAGCACACATATAGGCACTGTCATGGCATTGTTCATTGTTACGTGGACTCAAATGTAGTTAAGCCCAATACTATTCTCTGCTACTGTGTTCACCTGCTATATTGCTACATTAAGACTTGTCTTCTGAAGATGGATATTGTTGTCATCTCCTAGAAATTGATTTCTTAAAATATGCTTTTATAATTCAAAAAGGGAAATGGTTTTGTTTTTGTGAGTAATTTCACTCAATTGGAAGTACAGAAAAAAATTTCAGCCACCCAGCACTTGGAGATGCAAATATGACAAATTAGAAGTAAATGAAACATAACGAGTTCTCTATATTTATGACAAGCAAAATTATTTGTTTTTCATTTACCTTTAAAATCTGTAGTTTGTAGAGGTCTTTAGACACTAAGATCAGAATGGTATCTTCATATATGTTTAAAATACTTTGATATAAATTCTGAAATACAAAAAAGTATGCACAATCAACCTGCCAGGCTTAAATAAAATTTTACCTTATATACAGTTTTTCATCTAGATATCTTAAGTTCTCTCCATAAATTGAAGGTAAGAACAGAGATAGGTGGCTATGTTGATAAGACCTCACCCAATGACATATGCCATAATTGCTTCTCTAGTTTATAGCTTAAGTGCACTACATAGCAATGTTGAGGAAATAGAGACCACAAGTATTGCTAATCTTACTATATGACTCTTTCTATTTTCATCTCTCTCTGCTTCTGTTCCCTTTTTTGCAGTGCTTTCCAGTAAACTTCTTGCCCTTACTAAATCAATTAAAAATATCTTCACCCATTTGTTCCTATAAATCCTATACAATCCATTAAATTCCATGGATTGTAGGATTCACAAGGAATCTAGGAGTATAGGTCAGTGCTAGAAAATACTGTTTGTCTGAGAAAAGTGAAGGAGGAACCAGCAAAGATAATGACCTATTAAGACATGTTCTTTAGGTGTGCAGTGGGATATAATAATGCCTTAATATGATTAAGGATAGAAAGATTTTACCTCCAGGTCCTCAATATCCTCATCATTCTTCCCCATCATTTTCACCTTGTCAAGACTTGGTATAGAAAATGCCATTTTAAAGGATGACTCTATTATCCCCAATTGAGACTCAAACTGCAGTAAGGGATCCACAAAGCTGAGAAGAAAAAGGTACAATTATTAAATTGCTGGAAATTCAAATGTAATCTAATGTTATTGATTTCTTCTTAGTAATAAGGGAGACTATACTAGAAAGCGAGGTCTAGTTTTATCTTTATATGACACAAAGGTCTTGAACATTCTCTTAATGATGATACTTTCAATCAGAAGGAATAAATTTCTTTGTAAATGTAATCTACAATTATTTAGAAATCAGAATATATTCTCCATAAATGTAATTATGTATAGAGTGGTCGTATTCTCAGCCAAGTCCACAAAACCAATGCTTAGCTTTAAACTGTTGAACTGTATTGTTGTTACAGTTTTTCTAGCCAATGATACCATGTTTTTCACACTTTAATATTTCTGGTATTGAGAAGCATCTTCAAATTGGTATCAGTAGCTGCTTGCCCTTCATCAGCTAGAAGGATTATATGCTTATTCATGAAATACAGAAAGATTAGAAAGAAGCATAAGAAAGAAACAACAGTTGCAGAATTAGGATGATGGAATTTGAAGTGATTTTTTTCTTTCTTACACAAATTTTTTAAAGATATAACATTTTAAAGATTTTCAATTAGGGAAATAAGAGCATTACAGTTTATATACCTGGAGTTCATGGCCAGGATCATGGATTGATGACATAGCAACTCTGAGAATGTATCCAGCAGGCTGTTAGTTGTACTCTCCTAAGTACCATGAGAAAATAAAAACCAGAAAGAATCAATGATTATAGACCAGTGAAATTCATAATATCGTGTGTAATTTTCCCATTTACAGAGAATAAAGGAAGCAAATCAGGTTATAAACCCAAGAGTTCATAGAAGTATTAAGACTAGAAAAGCTGTAATTTAGCCCATAATATTATATTGTCCTAGATGGTGGCCTTTTGTACACACACACACACACACACACACACACACAAAAATAATTTGCAAATATTTTCTTCCATTCCATTCCACAGATTATCTTTGCATTTTGTTAATTGCTTGTTTTTATTTGTAAGAAAACTTCACAGCAACCATCTTTAAGTAGTATTTTCAGAGAATATTTTGTGAGGGGTACTCTTTATCAGGTATGCTACCATTTACCACTGTACCTGTTAAACACAGTCTACTTAGTGTGGGGTCTACCGATAGAAATATTAACAGGGCAATTTAAGTCAGGCCTTACAGAAGAATGATTACACTCACACTGTAGAATGAGAATCATATTCAATTCAATCTAAAGCTGTTAATATAACTATGTAGTCATTAAAAGTGATAATTGAAAAGATTATTAGGAATTTATAATTGTTTTTCAAAGAACTGGGGAACTATACCTTTATTAGCAAAAGCATCCTGGAGAAAGGAAAATAAGGCTGGAGGGATTGCAATTCCTGATTTCAAGCTATAGTTTGAAGCTAAAGTGTTTAGAACACTATGGACAGGCATAAAAACAGGCCCCATAGATAAGTGAAATGGAATCGAGTATCCAGAAATATACTCACCATAGATGGTGATTTAATCTTTGATATGGGTGCTAAGAACACACAATAGGGAAGAGATGGTCTCCTCAATAGGTGGTGTTGGGAAATCTGGATATCCACAAGCAATGGAATGAAACTGGACTCTTACCTTATGTCATATACAGAAGTTAAGTGGTAATGGACTAAAGACCTAAATGTAAGGTGAGACAATAGTAAGACAGTGACAGAATTACACAGCCCACATTATTCCTTAGGGATACACACCAATAAACAGTAATTTTCTCACCTAATTCCTTGCAAAACTGCTAAAATAGTAAGTGCTGGTAGCAAAGTAGCTTTAACTTGCAGAAAATCCAGCAAGAAAAATAGCAGGAAACAGACACACCTACTTAGATGGGACATGGCTACTATCTACAACAAAGAAACTGGCAGCATGCATGCCAGCACAGTTCAGCAGCTTCCAACACAGGAAAGGACCACTGCTGGAACATACAACTAATCGTGAATTCTTGGGGACTTGGAGTGTGGAGTGCAAGTCTGGTAGGGTGAAGGCTCAGACCTCAGAATCCTCTGCTGGTGTTGGTATTCAGATCTCCAAATGTTCAACTACTGTTCTGGAAACCAACTAAGACCCATTCCAGAGTCAGGTCTCAAACCAGACTGCCATCTATTGGCTTAAAAGACTCAGAGTCTGAGGGGAATAAATAAAGAGTAATGGATAGATAAATGGATAGATAGATACATAGATGATAGCCATTCAGAAAAGCAACTGAAAATGTTGATTTTTTTTGTCACTTTTGGTTTTGATTGTTTTTATCTTTTGTTTATATTGATTTATTTTTGTGTAACTGCTCAGGATAACTTTATACTCTCTCTATAAATCATTTTCTTTTTAGTTCTGTTTTTCCTCTCTTTTCTCTTCACTCACTGCATATGAACCATGAAACATGCTTTTCAGCGTGCAATCTTAACCAATATCCTCTGTCCCTTCCCTATCATCTGTCTCTATTTATACTTTCCTCCAGTTTCCAATTAGAATCACATTTGCTCACATTTTGCCTCTATCCTATCTCTTCATCCATAACCCTTCTTTATTATCTGTACTCTTAACAGGTCAATTAGATTGCCAGATCATATTTTTTTTAAAAAAAACTTTTTATTCCTTGATTGTTTGCTTAATTTTCTTCACCTCTCTTCCCCAACATAAGATTAACTAAATCTTTCCTACTAGCTCATCCCACTTACTCACTAATTCTTATTAGTAAGCTAAGCCAATGCCCCTACTGCCTTATAAGATGAAACACCCTATATTATTTATTAGGTAGTTATCACAACTATCTCTTTCTCATTAACACCTTATTAACTTACGTCTTCCTTCACCAGGAAAATTCTTCTTTGCTCCCATATGTATTGGAACAGAAGAAATAATTAAACTTCATTGGGGTTTACCATATCTCAAGATTGTGATTTACGAGCTACAGGCTGAGAGCAACAGGCAGGCAAGCCACAGTTGCAGATACCACTCTCAGAACTGTCTCCAGATGCTTTTTTTTCTTTTTCTCCCTACCTTTGATGAGAGAACAACCAAATTACACCTGCAAGCCGAAAAACTTACTGAAACTGTATTGCATTTGAACTGGGGACACTTGGTGGGGCTTTTGTGTGTGTGTGTGTGTGTGTGTGTGTAGTTTTGTTCTACTTTATGCATCCCCTTTGATGAGACAACTACAGAACAACATCTGAGGCACCAACTCCAGGACTGGAGATTGAGACAGACACCCAAATTATTAAGACTGAAACTGCATTGCATATAAACTTGGAAGTTTTTTGGTTTTTTTTTAATTTTCTATTTTCCATTTTATTTTAATTCAATTTTATATATAGATATTTCTTTCATTTACTTATTTTTTTTTTTTTTATCTTTGATTTTCAATCCTCTCTCTGTCTCTCTAATGTCTGTTCAGCTTACTGTCGATTAGTACACTAACACTCCCTGTTTATACCTTTGAAACTCTTGTCTGATACCTTGTTCTGCTTTCTCCCTCTTGTCTGTATATTTGTTTTCCCCTTTTCTTTAACGTCTTGCTTTCCATCTCAGCTCACCCTTCCATTCTAAATATTACCATTGTTATTATTACAAGCTAGAAAATACTTAATTGCACACAGTACAGGGACAGTAACAACACCAACGACAATGACGGGAAGACAGAAAAAACAGGGAAACCAGTTTCCCCACAGCAAAAAATTAGTACAGGAACCAGAGGGGAATGAAGAGAACAGAAACTCAGATCCAGACTCCAACAAAATGAAGATAAACTATGCCAAAGGACCCAATGAAGCCCACAAGAATAATTTAAAAGAAGACATACTACAAGTACTCAATGAGAATTTTATAGAGATGATACTGGATAGGGTCAACCAAAATGTACAGGAGACACTCAAGAAATTCCAAGACAACAAAAATAGAGAATTTGAAAAAGCAAAAGAAGAAATAAAGGAAACCATAGAAGCACTGTATAAACACCAAAGTGAAAGAGAGAACACAATGAATAAATGGATAAATGAACTCAGGACAAAAATAGACAACATTAAAGAAGAAAACAGCCAGGATATGGAAAACCTCAGAAAAAAGAACGAAACAGAACTGCAAAACAAAACGGAAGGCCAATCCAGCAGAATAGAACAAACAGAAGACAGAATCTCAGAACTTGAAGATGAAATGGTAATTAAAGGAAAAACCGAAGAACTATTAATTAAACAACTCAAGACCTGTGAAAAGAAAATGCAAGAACTCACTGACTCCATCAAAAGACCAAACTTGAGAATCATGGGCATCGAAGAAGGAGAAGAGGTGCAAGCGAAGGGAATGCGTAATATATTCAACAAAATAATAACGGAAAATTTCCCAAATCTAGAGAAAGATATTCCCATACAATGCAAGAGGCCTCCAGGACACCAAACAGACCAGATCAAAATAGAACTACTCCACGACATATCATCATTAAAACAACAAGTTCAGAAACTAAGGAAAGAATATTGAAGGCTGTAAGAGAGAAAAAACAAGTAACATACAAAGGTAAACCCATCAAAATCACAGCAGACTTCTCAACAGAAACATTAAAAGCAAGAAGAGCGTGGGGTGAGATCTTCCGGGCACTGAATGAAAATAACTTCAACCCCAGGATACTCTACCCAGCAAAGCTATCATTCAAAATAGATGGAGCAATAAAAGTCTTCCATGATAAGCAGAAACTAAAACAATATGTGACCACAAAGCCACCATTACAAAAGATTCTGCAAGGGATTCTGCACACAGAAAGTGACACCCAACTTAACCATGAAAAGGCAGGCAGCACCAAACCACAGGATAAGAAAAAGCAAGACAGTAGAGAGTAACATCAAGTTAGGTACACACAATCAAACCTTCAAACAACTAAGACAACTAAATGGCAGGAATCACCACATACCTATCAGTACTAACGCTTAATGTTAATGGACTTAATTCACCCATCAAAAGACACCGTTTGACAAAATGGATTAAAAAGAAGATCCAACAATTTGTTGCTTACAGGAGACTCATCTCACCGACAGAAATAAGCATATGCTTAGGATGAAAGGCTGGAAGAAGATTTACCAAGCCAATGGCCCCCGAAAACAGGCAGGAGTAGCAATACTTATCTCTGACAAAGTAGACTTCAAACCTACATTGATCAAACGAGATAAAGAAGGACATTCCATACTAATAAAAGGGGAAATAGACCAAAAGGAAATAATAATCATCAATCTGTATGCACCCAATGTCAACGCACCCAATTTCATCAAACATACCCTGAAAGACCTAAAAGCATATATAAACCAACACAGTGGTTGTGGGAGATTTTAACACTCCACTATCATCAATAGATAGGTCATCCAAACAAAAATCAATAAAGAAATCCAAGATCTAAAATATGCAATAGATCAAATGGACCTAGTTGATGTCTACAGAACATTTCATCCAACTTCTACACAATATACATTCTTCTCAGCAGCCCATGGAACCTTCTCCAAAATAGATCATATCCTAGGGCACAAAGCAAGCCTCAGCAAATATAAGAAAATAGAAATTATACCGTGCATACTATCTGACACAATGCAGTAAAAGTAGAACTCAACAACAAAAGTAAAGACAAAAAACATGCAAACAGCTGGAAACTAAATAACTCATTACTTAATGAAGAA